TCCAGATCATTGCAGAAGCAGGAAATGACTGCGATATATGTTTTTGTCACCACAGACTTTTGCTGACCCTTCTTTCGAAGTAGAAGTTGATCATGGATTGTGACGTGGGTCGGCTTTGACACGCGCTTGGACGTATACGGCTGAAACGTGTGCGGGCATTTTGTGCAACTCAACTGCTGCGATTCGTTGATTTTCACAATCCATTACTTGAGCTCGAATGAAAATAAAGAATTATACTACTTAGATTTGTACCAAAATTGAACAAGGGATCCAATAAAATCAGCAACATTGATGGATAAATATCATATCAATGCTAAAATGAATAAAATGAGAACTAGTAGAGCTTTCCTCGCACCTTGTATAGAGGGGAGAATTCTTTCTGTTTAACCGCTTTATAGCGCTGGTATGATGTTACAAATATATCCAATGATGTTGGGTGATGCTCAAAACTTTATGCGCCAGGCGGGACCTGAACCGGCAATTTCACTCGATCCGGGGGACAATAATTTTTGAGTATATCAAAAATCCATCTTTTCCGCTCAAATAGACCACGTAAAATTTCGTTTTAGAGCAACTATTTACAACTTCTCAGCTTTCATTGCTTACGATGGAAATAAATCTAACCTAAAAGGATGAAAGGCAAGCTCTTGTCGTTGATCAATCCCTAATGGATGTGCCGTGCATTCCTCTCTAACTTTCAACTTCTTTTGAGGTGGCTGAATGAACATCTAACTCTTGCAAAGACTCACGCCAGTTTATCAATGCATCAAGTTAGTGCAGACTATCTTCTTGAGCAAGTCTGGTGCCAGTTTACTGACCTCGGAAGGATGGATGGCTCGATGAGCCATGAGCACGAGATTGAACAATCGACGTTGTGTGCCATGCAGAGTACTTCTAGTCATAGCACTTCTTGCACTCTCCATCCACCATAAGTAGCAAAATCTCTAAGAATGCTGATAACCATGCATGTGAACAATAAACTATAATAAGTTATCTTGAATGGCAGTATATATACCTAAATGTGGCTAAGCAAAGCTCCTCCGACAACTTTGCGGGTTTTCCAAAGCTGCAAGCACTCTAAGTACCGCAAATTTATCGTTCATTTTGAAGAAAAGTACTATTGCAGTGCTCAAATTGTGGAAGAGTTTTACAATATTTATAGGCTCCGAGTAATTCAAGCGTAAGCACGAATGCGCCATGTGTAGTAAAATGCAAACCTCTCAGTCTTTACCCCATAGTCGAAAGCAATTGCAGGACGTTCACGCCCACATTTTGATCAAGCACTTGGGTAGGCCTGACCTATCGGCAACGCCATTGGAGTTTGTCCCGACACGTGACGTGATCGGGCGTCAAGCGTGGCGGGCCACAATAGTAGCGTGGTAGGTTTCTGGTAATATTAGATTTTTATCGTCATTAGAGGAAGTTTCACCGCTAGTAAATGGTAGAATATGTTAGAAGAGATTTCAATAAAGCTATATATCTTAGGAATAATGTCGATGCCTACTATTAAAACCCGCGTCTTCAGTTTTGGTAATATCTCATTTCCACCAAAATCATCGTAGTAACAGAAAATGAGAAATTGTGGAACTGTTTGCTGAAAATGCTACACACAGCATGCGATACCACTTCTTCAATGATTTTCAAAGATATTTCAATTTTCAATAGACTTTTGAGATTGCGAAAAATAGTGGAAGCTTCACTTAACGCGTTGACCTTGTGCGCGGCTCGGCGAGGTGACGAGCTCAGCTCGTTACGATGACAATGGGGTAGTTTCCCAACAAAATTTTGATTCTTGTCGTAAATAAAGAGAGTTTAATTGTCAGTAAAAGAGAAAATATGATAAAAGAGACTTCAATAAGACTTGTTTGGTTGGAGAATGTCAAAATAACCAATCAACAACGAATTGCTCTTCAAAAGTGGTACTGCACATGGTAATGCGATGCGATTTCATCGAAAATTCGGTGAAATTTTTCGAGAGACTTTCAGAAGTTGAAGCTTCTATATAGTTGTTAAAGCAACTTTGCTCTACTGTCTTATCAGTGAAAGCATTTCAAAAACCGCTTGAACCCTATATGATTGCCGTTTCATCGTTACAACCTGAAATTCCTGCCGATGATTTTTTTCTAAACAACATCTTTTTTTGGAAAGGAAGCCCAGATGCTTACGAAAAAGTCATAGTTCGGACTCTAATGAAACTGATTCCATGCTTTCACATTTATATTTGTCCACATTTCACCCACGTTCATCATTCATTTCCTATATCAAGAGCATTTACCTCAATTCATTGCTACGAACAGGCGTTCGTAATCAATTCAATATAATATCGCAAAATCATATATTATACTAGCAGTATGCATTTCCGAATGAAACCTTACGAGATAAATCTTTCCAATCAACCACCTCACCCGTAGTTATTTGAAGAGGTTGGAACCCGAAGTTAAAAATTCAAGACGAGCGTATAGCCTATCCTTCAGGAATTGATCAACACCGAGAGTTTTATCCTTCATCCTTTCATCCTTTGAGAGCTATAAGTATTTTTATCATCTTGTATTGCGCTATGAATAACATTTATCAAGGCAACATTTGTCACTAAACGAGGGCGCTGATTCAGGTGTTCTATGCATTCCTTTTCAGCTGATTCGTCTCAAGACGAACTAGTGTACTTTATCGGATTCCAACCTCTTCAAATAACTGCAACAGAATCATCTGTAGCCTGCCGCACCTGCCGACAACTACATGAGAGACCTTGATCTGCTATCTCATTCAAATGAATATCATTCCTCCTTACTCATGTGAGTGATTTATCTTCTGCATAGCATGCTCGCAATGCCGAAGGGGAGATCGGTGATGCAGCTGATAACAGCATGGAAGACAATGCATTTGTCCCAGATACTGCGTCATGTAAAGCTTTCTCCCCCCAAGCCTTGCTCTTTGAAGACGAGCAGGTGTTCAAAGCGACCTAATGCTCACATGCAAGGAGCTAATCAACTTTTATGAACTGTTCCTGACCAATCATTACGAGCTGATTGAGGGGCAGGCAAATATGTGTGACGAATAGAAGAGATCTGAAGCGAAAAAGACTACAGAGTAGTGCCGTGAATCCGAAACAAAGAGAAAAAACAGCTAAAAGGCTTTGTCTTCCCAGGCTTACACCTTTTTCAAAGGAAAAATTTTTGGAATCACCTGTATCACCTGTCGTCCCGTTGATCGTCGAGTGACTCGAGCGGGTACCAGCAACACTTTCATTTTTCCCTATCGCATGCAAGAGTAGCCCAGTGGGTCCACTTCGCTCTAGGATTCACTGAGCATCATATCTTCTTTTATACCTTTTGTGAAAAAATCGGACCAACGGGTCGGTGGTCTTCCTGTAGAGCTTTTTGATGTCTCGAGGAATCCAGTCGGTGACGGCTCCCGTTCATCGGTTGTCGCTGAAACGCATCACATGTTCGGCCCACTTTATTTTCGATATCCTGGTGTGCAGAGCGGCGTCTTTCATCTTCAATCTTTGACGTAGGTCGGAACTTCGGATCCTTTCTCTCATTTGCTAGATATGGGATGCTCCTAGCATCGATCTTTCGACTGCGCATTCAACAACGCCAAGTGATCTTTCATCCTGCTTGCGTAGCGATCAGCTTTCTGCTGCATCCGTTAGGGCAGGAATAATCGACAAGTCGAAAAGGTTTGCACGGAGTTGGATATTCTTCGTCCTCTTCACTACATCTTCGATGCTCTTAAACGTTCCCCTAGCCGCTCGTTTCCTCCTGGTTTTTTGGATATGAGCATTTTTGTAAAGGAAATTTGCTTATAGAACTCTCTCCAGCTATCATCAATCTTTTCGTGCTGATGAACTATGCTTAGAATACGAAATTCATTTCGTATAATTGAATAAAGTTTGTGGTGGTGTTGAAACAACGCGCTCCCAGAGCAAAAGATTAGAAGGATAAATCCCTTTGCGTTGAAGACCTTTGAGTGGCTTTCATGCAATTGTCTGCAAAATATATTCTCGTTTGAGGTGATTAAATGCATGTCTGGCCTGTACAATGATTCGCGGTAGCCTACCGAGGTACTGAGCCAGTGCTGCTTATGCTCCTAGACAAGCTTGGCACAAATTTACCTTTCTGAAGGAATGGAGAGCTGGTCTGAAGATCGAGCATGAGCGCGAGCTCGAACCAACGGCCTCGTGTGCGATGCAAAACACCCTAACCACTGCGCCACATGCGCTTTCGAGCACAGTATTTTTTTGTTAGTAAAGCTTACTATGGAAGTCTCGTCACAAATTAGGTTCAGTGCTTAACTTTCCAGTTTTCAAGGTGTCGATTGATTACTATAGTTTAATGAAAAAACTGCTGAGTAAAAAGGAAGGAAACTGCGAACACATTTCACACGATGTGACTGCATTCCACTCAGTTCATAAAGAATATTGGACTTTTTCAAGAGATTGACGCAGTCTTCCACTAAAAATACGTTTTCCTGTGTCCCTCTAGTAATATTCTATCTTATATAATCTAGAGTATTATTACATGACTTCAAAATTTCCGTGATGGTTTCTCTTGTTGAAAAATAGTTTATTTCTTGACAGATGGCATTCTTTCATTGAAAAAAAACACTTGAAAATCTTCATAGAATTCTCTTTAGTGATATTTCATTATTGGCTAGTAATAACATTCTCTTGAAAATCTATTTTACCAAGTAATATCCCCCAATATCCACTTTTTATGCTTGCCCCGTATAAAACTCTGGTGTGCGACGACACGAACCATGGGTCACTATGACCCTTATGAATCCCAACTTTTCGAAGGAAATGTCCTCCCAAGTCCCAATAACTGGTTCATTTCAGAAGGTCATCTCTTCCTCTGATGATGATGATGCCAATGACGTTCTCTCCGTTTTCCTCAGCGGAAACGGCTGTGAGGGAGAAAAAGTGAAAAACTTCACTTAGAGAAAATGTCCTCCACACGTTATAATTTATCCAATAATGTAGAGTGGTGTGCAAAAACGTTTGCGTCAGCTGGGACTCGAACCCAGATCTCACTCTTTCCGGGAGTGCGTGCTCAACCGTTGCACTGCCAAGTGTAACATCATACCACCGCAAGAGGCGGTCAAATAAAAAATTTCCATTGATTATAGAGACCGAATATCTGTCAACATAAATGGGTTCAATGCCGATAGCGGCTGCCCCACGCCAGACAGCTAACGGTTGACTGTCGACCAGTGATGTGCCAAACTGGCGTCGGTAGCGCAACGGTTCAGCACGCGCTCCCGAAGGAGTGAGATCTGGGTTCGAATCCCAGCGGACGCCAACGTTTTTCACACCGCTCAACATCATTGGGTATGTGCATGCACATATGTGTGCGTAGGCAGCCACAGAAGAAAAACTCTTTCACAGTCATATCTAATTTCAAACTCGTAAAATAGACAAAAAGTTGCGGAATTGTTGGGTTTGTGAAGTTGTCGAATGAGTACCAGAAGTCTAGCTAAAAGCCATCTATTATCCCTAATATAGCAAAAACGCGTGTCGAATGTGGCACGTAGTTTTCTCTTAGTGGCTGCTGTGCTCCAATGAACTTTTTTTGGAAACTAAGCGCAGTTTGAAATTTGCAAGGTTTAAGTTTCGACTACTCACTAAAATGCTAGTCCTATGTTTAGCAAAAAAAACCACTGTAAAATCGTGTATCTAAAGAAGCACACGCTGGTCTCTTAAAAATCGGACACTTCATCGTTGAAGAATTTCTTCAAAATGTTTGAGGATGACGCTACGCATCGTGCAGCGAGTCTAGCACCTCCAGCTAATGTAGCAGTAAGTCTGATTTTCTTCTCTTTGAAATGTGAAAGGTTTTGTGAAATAATGGGAGAAATAATCGTTTTTAGAAGTGAGGAAGTCCTCCGGTTACTCTGAAGCGCATGATTCCTTCCTTATTAGTTTCTGGTCTAATATTTTTTTTCTCTATAAGCTTCTATTTGCTAAATACATAGCAATATTCTTGTTATGCTGTTTCTTATTATACCCTTCGTACTCAGTAAGCCTATGAAGAACTTTCCTTGATTTTTGAGAACTCTTAAGCGGACGTCGGGCGACTCTGAACTGAAAAATTGCTCAAAAACAGCCGCCTGTCATAGTTGCAAATATTGTTGGTCGTCCTAGCGGACAGTAACACATCTGTGCACACAATTATTCTTATCAATTACTTTAACTTACTTTTTGCGAGCGGCATGAACCGTTTTTCGGACCACTACTTTTTTACTTTTTTTTCATTCTACAAGGCTTTATCCTAAACTGTTAAAAGTCATCCGACTGCTAGCTTAGCTCTCGCTGATTCTGAAATTGGGTTTAGTTTCGAAAGGCCCTCTTAGCGCGTGTAGCAACCAAAAGATAAACATTTCGCAACTGGAGAATTCTTCGCGCTGCTAGAATTTTCAGGTGACCTTTCACTGAACTTTTAGTATTTGGTAACACCATGCAATTAATTGCGTTTGAGACCTCATTTTTCAGAGTTCAATATAGCCTGCTAGAGTTTTTAGAGACTTTCGGAGGTCCCTTACGGAATTTTGAGTGGTAGACGTAGGTTTCAGCGTTCTGGCACGCTTAATCAGTACCACATACCTTTCTGTGCATCACCAAAACTAGTGCTAGCGACAGCGAACATCTATCACTCAGTCGACGTTAAGTGGAAGGATCACTTGATGTTGCGGTGTAGAGTGATTTTCAGTCGATGGCTTACGACTGGTAACACGGCATATAGCAATACTCTCCAATCGATTATCACAAATTCAAGTGAAATTTGCCATGTACATAAAGGCTAGTGGAATCTAAAGATTTTCGCTAAGGAAAGTGGTGGGATTTTGTTTTTTTTTCTTCATAGAGGCCGGATTCGCATATTTTTATTGCAAATAGTCCTGAAATAGAAATTACATTTCGGACAAGGTGGTATCTCTTCTTATGATGACGGCGAAATGGTTTCTCTACAAATGTTTCAAATTATGAACATCTTAATTTTCTACTTAGCAAAATTTTCAAAGCAAGAATTTCACTTATTCAACCGCTTTATAGGGATGGTATGATGTTACAAATGCAATCGATGATGTTGAGTTATGTGCAAAACTTTGTCGTCCACCGGAACTCGAATCCGCATTTCACGCTATCCGTGGACTTATGTTCTAACCCGTTGAACTATCTACACCTGTTTTGCCCACCTTTCTTTCCACGCTACAACGCATCAATTTGTCAAAAACCAGCCGTCAACGGTTTGACCGGGAGTCGTTATCAACATTGAACCCAGTTGCGGTGCAGATATTACATGTACAGAGTGCAAGGAAAGCTCTGACAATTTCCATTTTGTTAATTTTAGTATTGATGTTGCACTTTTTCATTAATGGTGAGAATTTCATTGGACTCCTCATTCTGTTTTGGTTAGAATCTGATTTATTTAGTTGTCTATTTTTAGTAGTGCTCAAGTTATGAAAATCAACGAATCGCAGTGATTGAGTTGCACAAGATGCTCACACATGTTCCCACAGTAATTTCGTCCCAAGTGTGTGCTTAAGCCTTTTCAAACGCATTTGTGCTAGCGTAGCGAGCAGCCGAGACTCTAGTTCAGTATGGACCACGCGGAGTAATCCATTGAGTTGAGATAAGGCAAATTTGTTTGTGAATTGTCCCTGCGCTAAAAGCCTCGTAAGTACTTTTGGTAGATGCCAGCTGTTTAACAAACCTAATGCGCAAAAGCTCAGCCCTGCTGAAGGGTTAATCCGTCTGCGCCAAAGTGTTGAGTACTCCAAGGCTCCTGATGCGCGCCGTAACATTTGCTGCTGATATCTGACAGCGTTGATTTTGCTGTTTCTGTTGACGAAGACTAACGGCGTTTTTCCGGTGGCGCAAATGGCGTTCCAGATCATTGCAGAAGCGGAAAATTACTGTTATCTATGTTTTTGTCACTGCAGAATTTTCTGACCCTTCTTGAGAAGTAGAAGTTGATCATGGCGACTGTGACGTGGTTCATCTTTGACACGTGCTTGGGACGAATACGGCTGAAACGCGTTCGAGCATTTTGTGCAACTCAGCTACTGCGATTCGTTGATTTTCACGATCCATAACTTAACTATAAAATCAGCAGCATTGATGAAAAAATGTTATACAAAGGCTAAAATTTATAAAGTGAAAACTAGTAGAGCTTTCCTCGCTCCTTGTATAGAGTGGATTGTTTCAATTCAACCGCTTTATAGCGCTGGTATGATGTTACAAATATACCCAATGATGTTGAGTGATGCGCAAAACTTTATGCGCCAGGTGGGACTTGAAACTCGCATTTCACTTGATCCGGGTGTGAAAAATTTTGAAGTATATCACGAATCCATCTTTTCCGCTCAAATAGACTACGTAATATTTCGTTCTTAGAGCAACTACTTACAATTTCTCAACTTTCATTGCTTACGATGGCAAACAAATTTCACTTAAAAGGATGAAAGGCAAGCTCTTGTCGTTGATCAATCCCTAATGGATGTGCCGTGCATTCCTCTCCAACTTTCAACTTCTTTTGAGGTCGTTGAATGAACATCTAACTCTTGCAAAGACTCACGCCAGTTTATCAATGCATCAAGTTAGTGCAGGCTATCTTCTTGAGCAAGTCTGGTGCCAGTTTACCGACCTCGGAAGGATGGATGGCTCGATGAGCCATGAGCACGAGATTGAACAACCGACGTTGTGTGCCACGCAGAGTACTTCTAGTCACAGCACTTCTTGCACTCTCCATCCACCATAAGTAGCAAAATCCTTAAAAAAGCTGATAGCCATGCTTGTGAGCAATGAACTATAGTAAGTCATCTTGAATAGCAGAATACATACCTAAATATGGCTAAACAAAGCTTCTCCGACAACTTTGAAGGTTTTCCAAGCTGGAAGCGCTTTGGGTACCGAAAATTTATCGTTTATAGGGAGAAAATTACTATTGCAGTGCTCAAACTGTGAATGAGTTTTACAATTTTTATAGTCGCCGAGTAATTTAAGCGTAAGCACGAATGCGCTACATGTGGCAAAATGTAGATCTCTCAGTCTTCACCCCATAGTTGAAAGCAATTACAGGACGTTCACACTCACTTTTCAATGAAGCACTAGGGTGTGCTCATCTCCTCGGCAACGACACTGGAATTTGGTCTGACACGCGACGTGATCGGGAGGCAGGCGTAGAGGGCCACAATAGCAGCGTGGTAGGTTTCTGATCAGACTAAATTTTTATCCTCATTAGAAGAAGTTTCATCGCTAGTAAATGGTAGTATATGTTAAAAGAGATCTCAGTAAAGCTATATATTGTAAGAACAATGGCCATGACTGCTCCCCGCATTTTCACGAAAAACCGAATACTCATGAAAGAATGATATTTCGGATCGTTGCTGAAGTTTTTTATTCTATCTTATCCATATTCAGTCATATTTGAATTATATATGCTTCATTTTCTATCTCAGCAATGTTTCTTCTCTGTTCATTGCTACAAATAAAAAATCAAATTTTCGTTTCGAGTGTTTTATTAAGACCACAGCTCAAATTTCAATATGCCTTGTAATCATTTTTGAACCACGCATGTCAGTGGTCTGTCAAAGAGGGCTAGCTTGAAGAGCCCGATACACGTGTTTCGATCTTGCGATCTCGTCCGTCGTCGATCTTCGGTGATAATTTCACTGGATACAGGGTGTAAAACGGTCGTCGTCGCTAATTCTTAGTGTGGGGACTGGAGCACCCGCACAGGATTGGCAAAAGACGGGAAAGGGTAATTGCCCGACTGACGAGATTGCAAGATCGAAACATGTGTATCGGGTTCTATAAGTCAGCCCTCTTTCACAGACCACTGACATGCGTGGCTCAAAAATGCTTACCAGGCATATTGAATTTTGAGCTGTGGTCTTAAGAAAAAACTCGAAACGGAAGTTATGATATATTGAGTATATTAGCCACGAGCAATCGAGTGTGCAACACTCTGTGTTCTGTGATAATTTCACTGGACAAAGAGTGTAAAGCTCGAAAGACCGACTTTCTTGAAACTTCGGCATGTTAATAATATAAAACTTTGAAAATCAGAAAAAAGCTCAAAAAACTAATCTTAATCTGAAGCTTCACGAGGTTGGTATCTTTTCCCAATCAATTGCTCTTCTTTCCGGTCGATGGGTTTTCGCGGTTGCTTGTGGCTGACGTTTCGACGATTACGTCGTCTTTAGAGCCTGACCGTATTATTCGTTGTGGCTTTATTTATATGACTATATACTGTGAGAGAATAAAAAAAGAAAATAAATCGAAAATCTAGGGTGTTAATA